CATTACACACAATTCTTTTTAGCCCTACAAAGAGTATAGTAATGACCTTCTGTCTGAGTTGATTCTAAAAGCTAAAATTTGGAATTTATGATTGGTGCTTGTTTTACTTTCTTTTCCCATTGCTGAGATAAAATACCTGCCACCCACAAGTTAAAGGTGGAAAGGTTTATTATCCTTTCCAGTTTGTAGAGGTTTCAGCTTGTACCTGGCTGGCTTCTAGGCAGGGTGGCTCAGCAGAGGGACACCAATGAGGAGAAAGAGCCCATGGCAAAGCATCCAGGAAGCAGAAAGCAGCAAAAGCAAGCCTCCTTTTTAGTTCTACTCAGGCTACCTGTTGATCTGTGCCACCCACACCCAGCGGCGGGCTTCTGTGATCCATGCCCAGAACTGTGCTAATTCCATTCAGTGAACTAACTTACACCACCCTAATCCCAGGTCGCACACTGCATCCATCCAGCTCTGCAAAGCCCCGCCTATGAGCACACGAGCTTTTGGGGGACATCCAGATACAAACTGTCACAGTATCCTCAGGAGAGAGGTCTTTTCTCCTGCCTCTTGGTGGGGCCACAACCAGCAGGAGCAGTCTGAAAACCAGAATGTGGGCTTTCACGAAAGAGTCTTGGTCATCAGATATAAGCATCAAATACATGTTTGCACTGAAATTGAACTCAAGGCAAGATTTTCATAACTTTATTTTTCAATGCTATAGTTATATCAATATAATCTTTTATTACTGAAAAAAATTAGGCACTATGTATTTACTCACACATTTTATAAATGAGGGCAGCTAATTTTAAAAAAGGAAATGATTGAACCAAGCATTCAGTTATTTTTGTTTTACCCTAAGACATTTGGTGGCTATAATAGGCATATTTTTGTCTGTAATTTTCAGGATATTTTTATTTAGGTGCCTTCAATTACTTTCTGATTCAGAGCTACTAAAAACAATGGGTCTTTGTTATTATTGAATAGTACCCTTAGACACAGCAATAAAATGTTCTCATTTAAACTAAATGAATTTAAAATAAAATGTCTATTAAGAACTACTGTGCTAATTAATTTTGT